TATATATATATATATATATATATATATTTAAGTTTTAGGCAGGTGTGAAAAAATGCTGTAAGGGAAGAATGCTTTCAGAAATAAGTGTTAATAGTTTATTTTTAGCAATTAACAAAATTTAAAGTAAATGAACAGAAGAGAAATCCAAATCAAATCAATATTTGGTGTTACCGCCCTTTGCATTTAACCCCTTCGTGATGGGAGACGTACACTGTACATCCCATCACGAAGTGCCCGAATGACTGGCCACATACACTGTACGTGACCAGCTATTTGCTGCTCTACAATGCTGGTAACCGCTGAGAATCCTGACAGTTGGTATAGATCGGGAAATCCCGATGTATACCGGCTTTTTTTTTTTAACTATTAGCAATAGAAACATAATGTTTCTATTCCTGAAAACAATGTTGCAGTTTTCTTATCGTTGTTGGAACAATCACAAAACCTTTAGTGACAGCTGATCCTGAAATGCTGCAGGATCAGTGTCACTAAGGTTATTATTGGCTGTTATTAGGTTTAAAGCAGCCCAATAATAACCAAAAATGAATTGATTAATTTATCAAGCAGTAATAGTGAGAGATGAATTCACAATGACTGCTTGATATAATTAAATAAAATAAAAATGTAAAAAGTTTTTAAAAAAGTGAAAAGCGTGTAAAAAAGTGTAAAAAAATAAAGAATAAATGTAACAAATAAAATGATATATTTAAATGTACTTGTATACTATCATTTATTTTTAAAAAATTAACCCCTTACAATGAAAATCTGCAGCAGAGCTGCAGATTTGTTCACCCTAAGGGGTTAAAAAAATTATTTGATGTTCAAAGTATGTCGCTGTCACTAAGTGTATAGGGGAGCAGAGGGGAGATGTGGGGGACAGAGGTAGCAGAGGGGAGATGTTGGAGTAGAGGGGATGTGGGGGACAGTGGTAGCAGAGGGGAGATGTGGGAGTACAGGGGATATGGGGGACAGTGGGACCAGAGGGGAGATGTGGGGGACAGTGGCAGCAGAGGGGAGATGTGGGAATAGAGGGGATGTGGGTGAGAGTGTGTCAGGATCCAGAGCACCCCCAAGTGGCGCTGGAGCCGGGTCCTGCAGTTCCTGTGCTCGCCTGCGGGTGTCTCCAGCAGCCAGGAACTGTAAGGAACCTGCAGCTCCAGTACTCACCTGCGGGTGTGCCCCAGCTGTGACTGATCATCCCATCACCTGGTGCTTCCTGGGAGGGTATTTAGGCCCTCCCTGCAGTCAGGAAGCTTGTACCACCCTGCCCTCCTGTTGACGACCCGGCTTGCACCTGACCACTCTTCTTGTATCCCGAGGCCTGCTGTACATCTGCAGGCCTGTTACCCCTCTTTGTTGGGTTTGTAGTTTTGTTGATGTGGAACCAATAAACTGTGCATATAACCCTATCCTGTGTGGGCATATTAATTTGGTCATCCTGCGTGGGTACCTGCATGTGGTGTGAGAACGCCTGTGCAGGGTACCCTGACAGAGTGGTAGCAGAAGGGAGATACGGGAGCAGAGGGGATGTGGGGGGAGAACTCAAGTGCCCTGCTGACACCCTCCACATCTGCCCCTGCTGAGACCCTCCACATCATTGTTTTGTAATGAATTGCTGGGAATTGTAGTCCTCTATAGCTGATGTACTCGGTCTAGAAAAAATGGTATCGGTGGATCTCTACTCCCGTCCATGCCCGTACCAAGGTACAGACATGTATTAATATGGATGGGAGGCAGGGTTCATACAAGTGTGGTGCATAGGCAGCTGTCTAAGGAGGGGGGGGTGCAAAAATGCACCTTCAGAACGGGTAGGTAGAACATGGTAGTATGAGTATCAACTACCACGGGAGGCAGCTGCGCATCGTTGGCCTGCTGCATGCTGGAAGCTGTAGAAGGCAATATGTTCAGTGCACCGGTGTTATATCAAACACGGCATCCCTTTAGACGTGTATGTTCCCTGCAGGTCTCTGGCAGCCGCTGGGTGGAGCAGGCTTCGGATCAGTGCATGGCTCAAAAAGCCAAAGGTGTTTTTGTGTTTCGCTTGGGGTGATTAGGGCTTGCCCAGGCGCACACCTATGCCTTAAACTTTATCTGCTCTTCTGAGAATCTTTAGCTTCTATTTCTTTCTGCCAGGGATTCTGCTCAATATGTACAGTACATACAGAAGAGAAAAAGTATTATATATTTAATTGTCATACTACATTGAAGACTGCCAATTCATGTTCTAATATGAGGGGTACCTGTAGTAACAGTCAAGGTATGAAGGTTTACCCAGTGCACAGTAGCCTGTAATGATGGTGGCCTTCAATAACAGAAAATACCAGAGTAGCTGGGCTGTCTTTACAACTACTGTATTAACTAAAGTTCTCCGATATTGTGAACTGGCATACTCCACTGTAGCATGATAGCCCTGGCATGAGAGTTAAAGGGACTGTATGGTAATGGCTGGGACGTCCTCTACTATATACACATATAAATGAAATCTCTGGTGGCAGTGATGGATGAAGACTCGTGCTACCAAGTTCCTGATAACAAAACTTAATTTTGCAGTGAATTGTAGAATGTAACTCTCATGTGACCTGAGAGCTCCCTGTGTTATACTTCAAATACAGCAACTTAAAGGGTATCTATGGTAAAAAAAAAAAAAGTATTTCTATATTGAATTTCCACAACTTCTATCCCATTTCCCACTTGCGTATTAAAGATGCTCATAGGTTGTACTTCCTTAATGTACTGACACAATTTCACTCAGCCCTAGGAACATGCACTTCCCTGTGTCACAACTCTCACACATCCTTCTGAATGCCTTCTGAACTCAACTCAATGTCTAAACAATGTTACATTCGTATTGCTTGCTGAAAGCAGTGCATGATGGGATATGTAGTCTTGATAAATCAAGATTGCATCATATAGAGTAGCAGGTAAAATACTAAAAGGTTTTATAATGCCGATGTTATAAAAGCATAGTACACGCTGTAACTTTAGAACTCCTTTAAGAACAGTATAGGAGAGGAAGCTAAACTGCGCCCCACACATACAGTGGCTGGGCCTGCGCATGGTGCAGTAGTGACAGCTACTGTCGACTTGTCCCGGGGTTGTGGTTAAACCTGCATCATGTTAAAACAGAGACTGATTTTTTATTCCAGTTATCATAACATTTGTTCTTTCATTCCATCTGATAACTAAGGTAGTTTATAACTAGGAATGCACCGATACTAGTACTAACATTTTTAAAATGATTTTGGCTGCCGTAAGGTCCCGCGCTTGCTGGGGACCTCATGTCAGCCTGCTGGGGACCTGCTGGGGGCAGCAGTTGTTTACAGCGCTGGTCCAGCCGCATATTTCTTGCTCCTCCTTCCTGCCTCCCGCACCTGCCCGTACACCCATGGGGAGACCCGCAGACAGCCGCACAGCACTGGGTGAGGCCACGTGCAGCCTGGTGAGACCCACGCGCCATCCTGATGAGACCGCGTTCAGCCCTGGTCAGATCCCGCATAGCCTCCTGAGACACCACATAGCCCTCATGAGCAACACAGAGTATGTAGCTTCATATTATTCTGCATTGCTGTATAATGTATTGCTGGCATTTGTAGTGCTCTATTGCTGGTGATATTCTGTATTGCTATATAATGGATTGCTGGGTTTTTTAGTCCTCTCTAGCTGGTGGTATTCAGGGAAAACACATTTCCTAATGCAGAAATCCCTAATCGCACCTAAACATACATGTGTGAGTATGCTCCCCCCATTCTGTGCTCCCCACGCACAAAATAATATGCTCCCCACATTCCCTGCCCTCCTCCACAAAATAACATGCTCGCCCTTGTTACTTGCCCCCCCACACAAAATAATATGTTTCCCCGTGACGATAATGGGGTTTGAGTCTATTAATATTAAATATAGCATTATCTTGTCCCCCAGTCCAGAGCAAGGGTAGGCCTTCATTTAGTCATTTGCCAGGTCCCTTCACATTACACAGAACAGAGATTTTCTTAGCTAGCCTGGGAACTTTATTACCCCAGCACTAGTGAGAGTCCCAAATAACCCTCTAACCCTTTTCATGATGGCCCCTAATTAAAGGCATTTAGGCAGGCACTCATCTGTTACCAGTGGACTGGTTGATGAACACAAGCAGTTCTGGTACAGTTAATGACCCAGGTGACCCGGCATTCACCCAAAGTCATAAACTGAGTTACAATATCAGCTCCATGTCATAATTTGGAATTGGACAGTGATATGGCAAAATAAAAGTTCGTCCCTTCTGCTCTCCCTCCCCAGCCCAGCCCTAGGGGCCAGCAAAAAGATGCTGCTGAGGCAGCTAGTGAGGCTCTTGTTTTGAAACATCCAGAAAGGAACTCCAGCAAGGTCAGAAACTCTTAACATTGCAGAAGAGTTCCCCTTTAATATATGAACATCATCTGCTAAAAGCTTGCTTGAAGGAGAGCCCTTCAGACCCCCCTTTTGTTTATTGAACTTTGCACTCTGTCAGAACACCTACAACCAGGATTGTTAAGAATTCACCTTTTCTTCCCTTTTATTTTACTGTTGTGATATATATTTTGTCTCTTTTTATGAATATATTTTTTCTGTTTCTTTCATTAAAGAACAATCTTAAAAATCGTTAAGCTTAACTCTACGCTCTAAATAGAAACTTGAAGTATCCTTGCCTCTGTGAAGAGCTCTACTGTATAGTGAATC